AAAAAAGCAGGTTTGGGTTCAGGATGTGCAGACTCTCATGAGCAACTCCACAACACAGTCGCAGCAGGGACTTGTTGGACCAAGTTGGACTTACCGGTATCCCCCAAAATGACTAAAGGATGTTTCACTGTGGTGGGGTGCGCGGGTAGCACCCTGTAGCGATGGGTATGCCGGAGCCGTGCCGGGTACGCCCGAGTAGCCCCTAAAGCATCGCCGGGGTACGCACGAGTAGCGTGGGATTATTGCACATAAAACTGTTCATGCCTTACATATTAATCCGCAGAAATACTTGCATATTTTTCAGTATATAATGTACACCGCGAACTATATACTGCATATAGCACAGTACAGTCATGTATAAATTGCAAGCTCCGTTATTTCGTTGTGTAGTCGATGTTGTATGCTGCATGCAGTAAACCACGAAAAATATGTGAGATAAAGCAGAGTATATATCATGTAAAACATGTCATATCCGTATATTGCATGCCATGGACAATGTAATCTCTCACCTCTTAAAACGGCATAAATGCTGTCTATAGTGTCTAATGTTGAACATATATTACGGAACGTATTGTGGCATCGTGCGTATTGTGACATATGATATTACCTGTAAGTCTTCATGTTGACGATGTTGCGTCGGGTATGCCCGAGTGCATTTCGCGCCGTACAAACCCATCCGCAAGAATACAAGAAGTGGAGAAAGGCCTTGCGCTGCTCACGCCGATACTCCCAAACCCTAGGCCAAGGGTCGCTCGAGCCACCCCAGCGCCTCTGCAAAATCGGCCGAGCCAAATCGATGCCAAAGAGCTAGGCTCATGAGACCTCAGGAGGCATCATTCGAGCACGTCTGCTTCAAGGCCTTAGGGTGATAACGATACTGGTAGTGGAGCATTAGGGAGTGTAACTGTAAGGGAATATGCTCGTACTAATTATTCGCAAGACTAGCCGAGAGGCAGCTTCCGGCGAAATCGATGGCTGCCTGCTGCTTAGCTGGCACCTGCAGCCTGAGTGTGCGCACGCAACAGGATGCTGATAGGGCGTACCCGAAGGGCCCGAGTAGGTGGCTATACATGGTAGGAAGTAGAGCTTCTATACTAGGACAGACTATCTTGGCTGGTGCAAATATCCCGCATGCAGGTGCATAGACCCCGTTGGATCAGTGCATCGCTTCCATGTGGGTGATTTGTGCCCCAATGGCGGTTATCCTAAACTCTGAGCCCTACGTCTTCTACACTCAACCTATATCTCAAACCAAAAACGAGACGACAACATAAGCTTTCAACCATCTTCCGGGTGCTCGACGGATCACGGGGAACTACTGTTGTTGACCATCGCCTCTCGGTAATCCAAAACCCCCGGAGCCTCCGTGCAGGAAATTCTATTCCCAGTGCAGAAGACATCGCAGACGTTGTGCGGGGTGTCTCGTTTGGGAACTTCCCCAGGTCCTCTACTGCTTCGAAGCCCGAAACCTTCAACCCTAGACCCTTAAATCGAGTTAAATCCGAAACCTTGAAGCCTAAATATGCCGTGAGACAAGTCCACAAGTCGTCCCGACAGAGCTTGTCGCTCCATGGCGCCTGTCGCCCAGAAGGCTTGCAACAGTTGAGGGGAGGCCGTAGTAGGTACCGTAGGGTTGGGGATACGATTCCTAAACCCTAAAGCCCTAAAAAAAGAAAAAATATGTTCAATCCATTCGGACTGCCCCCGTCCAACGAATTTGGCTTCCTAGAAGGCCACGTCGGGGGGGTTTCTGGGAGACATGCAGTGGCCGCAGGGGAATCAGAGTCTCGACCTGTCGATCCAGGGCTTTTTTTGATTGGGGGCTACAGCCATTTGTTACCACGTTCGTTAAGTTGTCAACCCTAATTATACTTGGGCTCAAAGCCTAAGCCGAAAGGCCGAACCAGTTGTCGACTGACCCCTAGACCCAAAAGCCTCCTTTTTGCTACTACACTCACGTCTAGCCAGACACCCTTTTAAACCCTAAACCCTCCTGAACCCTGAACCCAAAGACTACGAAGCGAGTTCATTTCCGAGTTTTCAGTTTCTGCACTAGGGGTATGTGCAGGGCTGACTCGGTCGCCTGCCTTGCTAAGAAAGCCCACAATCCCTACATGATGTCCTGCTGAAAAGGTAGGCTTCTGGAGCTTAAGGCAATGCTTGAACTCAGGGCATGGTGCCGGGAGGGGTTATTGTTGCAGGGTTGGGGGACAAAGCTGTACGGTTCATAAGCTTAGGGCTGTTTGTCGTTCTTCAGGTGAAGCATGCTCTAAGCTTAAAGGACCCAATCGTAATCCACCCTCTTTTTAAGGGTTCCGGCCTGAACAAAGTCACGCATGAGTATGACCGTTTAGACCCCAGAACGTATTCCATGTAATCTAGGGCCACTATATCTACGTAATATATATATATATGTGTGTGTGTATATATATATACACATACATAATTATTTGTAACCCAATTCTGTGTAACATAAAGCCCCTCACTAAGTAGGTGACGACACCACCTGCCCTCCCACATAGGTTGCTGGCAGCCTGGGGGTTCGCAGACCGACAACTTCTGATCCCTGAATTCTGACACCCTAAACACCCTTAGTGCTTAGGGTTCTATAGGGTTTAGGATTAAGGGCTGTTTAACCCTAAACTCCTAAAGCCCTCATCATGGACCAGAACCCTACGTCCGGAAAGGCCTTGAACCAAACGCCGTAGTCGCTCAGCATCGTTGAGCCGCTTCGGGGGAGGTTTCGCAGCATCGCGGCAAAGGATGTCGCTAGCCCAATCCTCGGCGGTCTGCTCTGAATTGTCCAGGATCCTGCGGGAATGTAAAGTTAACTTGTTTGGGTTATATAGAGGTTTTCATACCCCTGAATGGTCATTTGGAAATAATGAGAGGCGGTCGGATCCTTGTTTGTGCCCTTGCAAGCACAAGGGCCCTGCAAGCCCGAAACCTAAAGTAACTTCTCGGAGCCTGAATCAAATCCATACCAGAACCGTTTAAACCTTTCTGACCTGGATGCATGAACCCCCAAAATCCCTTTTTGCAGCAGGCCTCGTTGTCCAGCAGCCCGGTCCGAGCAAAATCCCTAAACCTCAAACCCAATAAAGCCTTCCTCCGACCCTAAACCCTGAACCCTCCTAAACCCTAAGACCCGGAACCCTAAACCCTAAGACCCGGAACCCTAAACCTTGAACGCCCAGAAACCCTAAACCTTGAACGCCCAGAAACCCTAAACTCTGGCTGAGAAGTGGCAGGAGCGCCTTCCTCGGGTTTTCCCGGGGCAGCGGTGAGGTTTCTTGGCCGAGGGCTCCTGCGTCTCAAGCGGCTGGGTTGCTAAAGTTGGGGCCTGGGATTCTTCAACGGAATGTAGGGGCTGTTATCCGGGCTTTAGTGAGAGTGGAGAGAGGGTTTGAACCGAAAGGGTTCTGGATAATTTAGGGTTTAGGGCTTGAGGCTTGAGGTTTAGTGTTTTCGCGCTCACACTCGGACAAGCCAGGCGAGGCATGTGGTTCGAAGTCTGCTGAGAATGAAACAAATGCGAGTTTAAGACCGACAAAACACAGAAGTCCTTAAGGAAGTACAAACCTGCTAAGCTGATGGTCCTCAGCTCGCCGAAATCCAAAGAAAGCCGGGTGATCTAGTTCAGGATTTCGACGTATTACGTTCAAGATCAATCAATAGGGATTCAGGTAGGCTAGGAGCCTTTGGGATTGGCCAGAACCGGGAAGGTTCTGGGAAACATATGTGATCTCGACAGACTCTTCACGATTCTTTGCTGAAGCCTGAGTCAACTCACTGCCACGAAAACCTCCCAGAGTCAAACCAAACAATCAGAGTGATGGGCAAACGTTCACCAACTCAAATACTGCTGGCGAGGATCTTATCAAATTAGAGACGAACTACACATTACGAATTAGGCACATCAAAGTAGAAAATTGTGCCCCTCTAGGTTTCAAGCGTGCGTGGCCCAGGGGTGTGCAAGCAAACCCCTAGCCCTTAATTAACCCCAAATCCAAGTACAAACCTTTATCTGGAACCCTCACGGACGTCATGGCTCCATCTGCAAGGCTTGTAACCCCAAGATGAAACCTAAACCCTAAACCCTAACCCTATAATAATATGAAACACCCTCAAGTCGGAAACCCCCAAGGCGCCAGAGTGGTGGGAAGCGCGGAGACTTGCTCGCTTTCGGCCCAGAGCGCGGCATGGCGGACCAAGGTTGGCTGACTAGAGATTACAGGGTTCAGGGTTTAGGGTCCTAGGCTCTAAAACCTTAAACCCTAAATCCTACACCGTTAGGGTATATAAGGTTTATAGGGATTACAGGGTTTAGGTTTGGGGATGCAGAGCCTCAAAGTCTAGGAGTTTAGGAACTGGAGGGTCCAGGAGTCGGGGTTGCAGGGTTGGTGCTGGGGGTCTTGGGGTGGGGCTTCGGTGCTTGAGGGGTGTGCGTTCATTGCAAGGGATCTTCTCTCCTGTCTAGACATGTTGTCGGTATCCATGGCAGTTCCCCCCACTTTTCCCTCAGAAGCTGCGGCATGCAAGGGAGAAGGTGGGATTTAGGGCACAGGGCTGTGCATTTGTAGGTTTCCGCGCTAGACTCTTCGAGGTTCAAGGTTGCTGAGTACCTCGGCACGGTTAGCAAGGCTATAAGTCGTCAGTACCAGAGTAACTATATTAGACAACTTTAAGAAGGGATGTTGTGAACAACTATATAAACACATGTATATGTATATATATACTCGCAAACATTAATTGCGTGCATGCGCAAATGTCAAGTCAAACCCAACCATCAAGTTCTGAACATTCACCCCTATACCCGAAGGGCCACATTCCTTAGAGAGCTCATGTACAAACATATCAACTCCGGTAAACATACCAAGAAGCTATAACTTGTTAATAAATTGACTATCCGGATCCTTTGGGTAGGCAAAACCCGAACATAAGCTGACAGGCCCTTAATTATAAAGCCTATAGATCTTCGACCCTCTGAGTCCAGGCACCATTCCTGCCAAATCATCGGCCCGGAGAGTGGCCGGTTCTTAGGCCTCTGGTTTAGGGGTTTAGGGTTTAGGGGTTTAGGGTTTAGGGTTTAGGTGTTTAGGGTTTAGGGTACACGTATACACACAACGAGGGTATGCGAGCATGTGCCGGTATCAAACGTGCACACAATTTGTTTGCGTGAATGCATGCCAAGACGGACAGACGGCTACACACATTGACCTACGTGGTTATGCATGCATCTATGTGGCAGAATTAGCAGCAAGCTACCGGAACAAAAAAGTGCACACTGGCATCGCCTGCCTGTGTGTGCGCGGGTATGAAGCTGTGCATGGTGCATGTGTTTTGAGCTTCTACCCAAGATTTCATGCTTCCAATGCGTGTTCTGTCTGAGACCCTTCTGCCCTGATCCTGATGTCAAGCAATCAAACATTGCTTGCCAAAGCAGAAGGTGGGTTGGCCTGATAGGATGAAAAGTCATGCAGGGGTTGGATATACGGCTCCATGAGGGACATGACGAACCTGTGCGGCCTACCCCAAGACTTGGATTGATAGAGTCAGGAATACACGATATTTGCGGTGCTTCCTGCCTGTGATATTTGTTGTGGGAAGAAATCCAGAATAAGCAGTCAATCAAGAAAGAGGTGCCGTACCGGTTGACATCTGACGCACAAGCTGAACCTGATCTTGAATACAAACTACTCAAGAATAGGAGTGGATGCCTTGGAAGTGTTTGAGGTTGCCTGTATGTTAACCTGTTAAGAATGAGGGATTGCAAAAAAGCCCGGCCGAAGAGCAACCTGCCGGCTCTCTCTCTATGTCTCTCTCTCTCTCTCTCCCTCTCTCTGTGTACGTTCGTGTCGACATGCAGACATATAACGGATTATACATGTATACATGCACAAATACGTATGTATATACAGTATGTATATATATACACACGTGAGCACTCGTCCACTGCTTCGTTCGCTTTGCCACGACTTCTGTATCGGGTGCCTCTGGCCCAGTAATCGCTGAAAATGGTCTGGATCCTTGCATATATGAAATGAATGAACAAAGAAATTAATACATCAAAAGACAAACGTTTATATACACATAAAATTCCCTGCACCTAAATGTAAACGTAAATGTGACTATGAGTAGATTTGGGACGTATGTATGTATGTATGCATGCATGGATGTATGTATGTATGCATGTGTAGATATGTAAAGGTTGCTGAAATACCTCCCGAAATCTCCTCTTCGGTTCCTCGTCTTGCTCAACCAGCGTCATGGATAGGAATCTGTAGAAAGCACGTTAACTTTAACCAAAGAAAGCAACTCAGAGTGTAAGCGAAGACCTTGCAGTCCTGGAAACAACCGGGTTTTTCATAATATTAAGCCCAGCTGGCACGTGGAAGATGAAGGAGGAAAGCTGCAGCCCTTCCACGGTGAGGACGCTGGCCTGGAGTGCGTAGGTCTGGGGATTACGCCCTGGCACCCGGACTCGCTAGACGAGGTTTGGGTTTAGGTCTTGCAGATGGGGTTTAGCCGAGGGTTTAGGCTTGAACGGCAGACTTTGGCGTTTATGCACGAGGGCTTTCGGTTTGGATTGGAGTTAGGGGTGTGGTGTGCAGCGAACTGAAGCTCTGAACCATTACGGGGCGGGGAGTTGCTTCTGAATTCAGGCTTCAGCAGCAGGACGGCTGTGTTGGACGTTTCGGGTTTCGGGGTTTAGGGTTATTTAGGGCTTAATATTGGCGCAGTTGTGTTCACGATTCACAGCATACGGAGGGCAAGGGAGTGTGTGAGCCTTGTCTGGGAGGTGAGGCATGCAGGGATCTCGGGCTACAGCGCTGCTGGTCGATGCAGCACTATAGGCACCAAACTCAGCTGTTGATGAAGCATTCTGAGAGCCAGATAGCCTCGTCCACAACAACCAAGGCCAGTAACAAGTTTCCACTTTTTTCCAGAATCTAGAAACCTAATTCAAGGAACAGAGCAAACTTAAACAAAGGTCTTCTGTAGGCAGAGTAAGTCATTATAGCATCCACAACTCCTTGCATAGGACAAACGACGCAAACCAAACACACACAAACAATCCCCAAGCCCCAAACCCTTTTTTGAACCCCGGCTCTGATCCTGTTCCGGGAAGTCGGCCACACCCGTGCTCCGGACAAGACACAGCGACTGAACTCTGACATCTGTGAGCCCCAAACCCTATCCAAACCCTAAACCCTAACCTTAAACCCTAAACCCTAAACCTAAACCCGAAACCCTAAATTCTAAACCCTAAACCCGAAAGCCTAAACCCGAAACCCTATAATTCCGAAACCCTAAACCCGAAACCCTATAAACCCTAAAACCCGAAACCCCTAAACACAAGCAAACCTCAGCCGACTTCGGCCAAGGCCCCGGCCAAAGCCCAGAGGTCTGGCCGAAAGCCGGCCCAGTCGGAGTCCGGCCCTTGTAGTTGGCCTTGGCTTTCAGGGTTTTTAGGATTATGGGTGTTTTGGAGCTTGGTTTAGGTTTTTTTTGGGGGGGGTTTAGGGCTTAGGGTTTAGGGTGTAGCTGAGCATGGCTTTTAAGTTTATGTTTGCCCTCTTTAGGGTTTGAGGGCTTTGTGTTAGGGTTTTAGGGTTTCGGAGGTGTTGGTCTCTCTCTGATTCGTCGTTCAAAAAGGCTTAGGGCTTAGGATGTGTTTGTTTCTCTCTTTTTTGTTGGCAAAGGTGTTTAGGGTTTCGGGCTTTAGGTTTTTGAGGGTTTGAGGGTGTTAAACGTTCCGTGTCTTTTTGCAGGGTTTAGCTGGCCTTGGAAGGGTTCCTTTTCTTGAAACATGGGTCGAGGATTGAGACTTTCAACTCTTTGAGGCTCTGCCCATAGGCTCCCTAGTAGTGCCTTTTTGTGGTTTGTATTTAGGATCCTATACCGGGCGGCTTTAAAGCTGCTTTGGGAGCGTCTATGTTTGGGTTTAGGGTTTTGGGTTTTGGGTTTTGCTATGTTTGGGTCCCTTACAGTACTTGCTAGCAGTTCGCGACGTCAGAGATTATTCCACCCCATGCCCCTGAACCCTTGCAGCGAAGGGAGATGGGTTTGCGGGATTGGGACTAGATCCGACAAGATGAAAATCCCCAGATGTTCCCCAAGGGCCAGGGATCCAAACACGGCTTGAGCGCAGACTCCAAACTGCAGCGAGACCGGGCGCCGAACAGATCCAAACGAAGATCCTATAGAGATACAGGGAGAGGACGGTGAAGCCCAGCACCTTGTGCACCTTGGTTTCCAATCTGCAGGTCTGATGGCACATGATCTTTGGGTTTTTGATCGTTTTGGCCGCCCTTGGAAGCTTGCCTTCAGCCCTGAAAGTTAGCTAGCAGCCTGCAACCTCGTCAGTCCCGCGGTACAGCAGAAGCCAAAAAGGCTGAACCTTGGTGGCCCCTCCACGGCCAAGAACAGCAGAAAACACGCAGATTGCAGCGCTCCAAAGTGGTGGCCTCTACGGTCAAGCCCCAGGCCACACGACCTGTCGTGTAGATCTATAAGTTGTGTGTCTGGGCAACAAGGTCTTGTGACAAAGAAAGTTTGCCTGTAGTGCCCTTCCAGTTGTAACAGGGCCACTTCAGGGCGGAAACTGTCGATTCTCACAAGCCTGTCTAATCGGAACGGCATCTGCAGAGCACTGACTGAAACATCTGGAATCTTCACCCGGCACTCCTCAAACCCGCGCGACTTCCTGTACAAACCCTAGGACTTTCTAAGCCCCGAACAAGCATCCGGATCTGCAGCTGAGGGGGATGCGTTATAAGGATCCTCCTTCGTGAAAATGCGACTCGTCACCTCAGCTTAACGTTATCTTGATGCATCACGGGAGTTATACCCTGAACCCTAAAACCAACAAAACCTCCACAAGTCACCTTTGTGAACGATATTGAGTTTCCGATGTCCTCAATCCCTAACCCCTGCTGGACCAGAAGAGGACCGACCAATGGAGACTTCGGGCACTTCACCTGCTCTAAATTTGGCTGCTTATTCAAGAAACCCAGAAGAAGGCAGCACAGTGAAAAGTTGGAGAAGTTACCCATCTACTGCAAGAAGGGTGGCATTCGGCGAGATTACGTACGCCTAGGCCCTGCCCCTGGCAAAGGACAGGCGACAGGATAGGTTAGGCCCTCCGGACCCGAAGGCTTAGGGTTTAGGGTTTATAGGCACCTTCAAACTTTAAATTCTGAACCCCGAACTCGACTCGGCCTGGACCTACCAACACCATAAGTCCTCTTATGTCTTATGTATAAGTACCGCCCAAGTAACTGCGCTCAATACAATATAGACACTACAACGTATGTATGTATGTCTGTATGTATGTATGTATGTATGTATGTATGTATGTATGTAATGTATCTATCTATATATATATATACCACACCCGCCGAAACAAAAATAACACATTGCTGAATATGCGAGCCCCATAGCAACCGGCAGCCATGCAAGCAAAGAGCCGAGTCCCTTTCCACGGCAATAGCTCCCTTGCCTGCCCCCGCCTGGCGAACAGGAACGGCTTTTTCTGCTTACCGCCCCGCTTCGTGGATGGTAGATAGACGCCAGGCGAATGTAGAGAGTTACAAGTTTGCAGACGACAGCCGAGTCTGTCGGGTCTCAGGGGGCCTTCATCACCAGGGTAGAGTTTTAGGGTACATTGCAGTTTCGTTGTATAGGGACCATACCAAGTCAACCTGTGCATTAGGTGTCCTGTAGTTGGACGGTCAATCCCAAAAGCAAAAATGAACTCGCCATGAGCTTCTAGCGATTTTGGCGGTGTCGCTGCGAGAGCACACCGGGAAACCCTCATCACGACTGCCTTATGCAAATCCCCGAGCGCTTGCCCTGAACGAAACTGGTCCAACATCTCAAACAACAACAACAACAAACAAATGTGGAGCCGTTGCTGGGTGGCCTGCGGGGACTGGGGCAATGCGAGCATGCCAACGGCATGCTTCTTCAACCTAAGCTGAACACGAGAAGCGACAGATCTTCAGTTGGCATCGACAAGAGCAGTCACGACAACCCGTCCGACTCCGTCGACTTGAAGCCGTTTTTGCAAAGAGACTGGGAATGAGGAGGATGGTGATGGTGTGTGTGTGTGTGCGTGCGTGAACTTCCTTAGCACATAAGGAAAAAGGGTTACTCCTGTTCTGCAGGGGCGCAGCACCTTTGGCATGCGGCGACCTTGTACCTGCAACGAAGTTTGTGATTTGCCACTGCTACAAGCTGTGCATGGTGCCATCTTGTGATATCGTCGCTGTACGAACATAGTATCCGCAGGCAGCTCGCAACAGCCTTAGGTCAGTGCCTGCTTCACAACAGCCATTGCATGTGCATGACAATCAACAACAACCCCGCCTCACCCCTCTTCTCTGCTTTTCTCTTGCTCTTGCCGAAATCCCACAAGTCTGTCTGTCTGTCTCTCTGTGTTTTTTAATCTGACAGTGACGTTACTGCGGATTCTGTCGCGCTGGATGATGAAGCATGAGCGCTATTGTTGGTCGTGAACGATGACGAGGATGAAATCCATGATGCTTATGATGCTAACAGCCATAGTGGTAATAGGGCGGAAATGACAATGATGATGATGATGATGCTGATGATGGTGTGACGGTGATATTGTTGTCGTTGTCGTTTTGCCAGTGTGGCACGTAAAGACAGTGAGGCCACTATATCACGGTGATGGCACTCTTCTTTGATGACACTCTGTTTTAACCACGATGGTGTTGTGGCTGAGAAAAAAGACGTTCGAGGTCATTGAATGATGGTGGTGAGGAAATTCTGGTGGAGAGGGTGAAGCTGATGAAGACTCAAAAGGTCGTGCTGGCGGTGGCGGCGATCATGTCGTCGAACCCGCCCTCTGCCCCTGTAGACATGCTACAAGATTGGCGACCAGTCCCTATTATGCTGTACTCCGATTCTCCCGCTTGCATGCAGGCACCTGCAGATCAACACTCATACGCCAGTGGATGAGGACTGACAAAAACGGATCATCTTCGAGAATCACAGCAAACAGCTACGGTGTCCGGGGTAGTGGCGGATTCTCGGAGGTGCTGAACACAAAGTCGTGCCGGCCGGATATGGGAAACTAGCTATGTGCCGCCTTCAGAAGCGCTGGCAGAGTCCCTAATCTAAGCAATCCATCCCCTCCCTGTCTCCGAAGCCCTGGACGCCAAAACCTCGAATTAAAAAAAGCCTATCAAGCCTACACCCTCCCAAGCCCTGAGCCCCAACACCCTAAAGCCCTAAACCCTGAGCCCTAAAACCCCCCTAACGGCCCTCAACTACAATGCTCCAAGTTCCCCAAGAAGCTCTAAGAGGCTCCGGAAGGGTCGCGACTTTAGGCCGGACAAAAAGCTCGACCCCTCATGGGTTCAGATTTCAGGGTTTAGGGCTTGGGGCTTAGGGCTCAGCACGAAAAACGTGGCCCCATAAATAAGCGGCTTCCTCTGCTAACGACCCACTGCATCTCCAGGCAAGGCCATAAACTCTGACCCAGAGAACCCAGTACACCTTAATGAAGGAATATACCTTGCATTATAGGGGCCTTAGATATTATGATGTAGGGTATATTCCTTAATATGGGGGTACTGGGTTCTCTGGAGAGCCCGGGCCGAACCGACAAGAACGACAGCCTCAAGAAATCGGGCTCCAAGCCTTGTCGCAAGCAGAGTCTTGAGTATGTTTACCAGGTCCTAAACAAAAAAAAGGCCCAAAGCCCTACACTCCTAAAGCCCTACCTAAACCCCGAATAACCTACCTTCTTAAGGACTTATATAAAGAAATCATAATAAGGAACCCTAAAAAGTTTAATTCTTTAGGGTCCCGGTAGACCCTACCCTAAATCCGTCAACCCGAGGATGCTCCCGTCTTCGCAGCCGGAGTCGCTGGTCCACCGCAAAGCCGGAGTGCCCCACGTCGTGGAAGGGTTCTGAGGCATCACCACCTCGGGGCCATCTTTGTGTTGAAGGCCCTTCTTCGGGGCTCTGGCTTTTAGGGCTTTTAGGGTTGAGGGCTTCGGGAAAACATAAGTGCCTGAATGACTACAATTTACACAAGTCGTCGGGGTTGCTCCGTATAAGCGTCGTAGAGTGCATATGTAATACACGTCGTATATACGAATATTACGTACATGTACATACACAGACTTGTATGTACATGTATGAAAAGCATCCTGTCCAATTGTTGAAGGTCGTTGTTTAGGTCGTGGGCACGCTGTTTTTGATTTCGGAGCATCTACCTGCATTGTACTCATGTTCTTACGAGCTCAAACAGCGGCCTGGATAGTCAGAATAGGGTCTTGGGGTATATTATACTAACTGTAGTTATAATAAGGAACCCCCCCACATGGTTGGTTGGTATTTATTTAAGCCCTGCAACTAACTCACGGGAAGAGGGGAAGGAGTGCAGGGTTAGGGCTTTAGGAGGCAACTCGTTCTAAGTTCTCTCTGTTGACAACCCCGGCGGCAGAACCGAAGCATCATGATCTCTGGAAGTCCCCCGACCTCATGCCCAAACTCTCGAAGTTTAGGGTTTCGGTCGGGATTGGGGTTTTAGGGTTTGAGGGTTTAGGGTTTAGCCTAAACCCCCAAACCAGACCTTCCCGAAAATCGCAACCCGGTTCGCTGAAAACTTTCTCAACAGGTGCCTCCGTGCTGGAGAAGCAAGTCCACGCCGCCGGGGTGGCTGGCTGCAAACCTGGACTCTGGCAAAACCCTGCTGAGGGTTTGAGTCTCTTACCATCTCTTGTCTGTTACCCTACTTGGAAGCCTGCCAATATAGGGGCCTTAATAATTAGAATAGGGTTTTGGGGGTTCCTTATTGTAATTATAGTAGAATATACCCAAAACCCTATTCTAAATATTAAGGCCCCTATACATCCCCTGGGTGCTTAATCGCACGGTGGGCTGGCATGTCGAGGTCGAGCTGTGTTAGCAGGACCGCGAAGATCAGAACTCAACCCTAAACCCTAACCCTAAACCCTGAACCCTGAACCCTAAACCCTAAACCCTAAACCCTAAACCCATGAACATCCTCGGCGTGGCGCCGCGAAAGCGTCAAAGTGAGGAAGGCTTTTGGACCAAATGACCCCCAACAGTATGGGGCTCTACAGTGTCCGAACGTATGAACCCTATATCGAACGGGAGTTGGGTACTGCCCCCCTATAGCAACAGTCTATAACAAGGGTACTAACGATGAAGGGCCTCATATATCTATATAGGGATGGTAAACAATATCCAAGTGTTTCTAAGTGGGGGCAGTATGCAAGAGCTCCTTTGAATTGAAACTCTACTCCTCTCCTGCTGCTACCAATCGCTTCCCCCGTAAAAAAACAACACCCTCATATCCAGTAAATCCCCCTGAAATCATCCCCGCCTTGTAAAGCCTGTATTTTTTTAATCACATAGGTGGAGGTAAGAATGTAAGAGGAGGAGCAGGAACAAGAGCAAAAGCAAGAGCAAGAGCAAGAGCCCCGACAGGAAGAAGAGCCAGAGCTGGCGAGAGCCAGAGCTGGCAAGAGCAAGATCATCCCCAATGTGACAGTACCTAGAGTCTCCATTGTAGTTCCTTTTTTTGGTTTAACCAATTATATCTTAAGGATTTTATAAGGTATCCCCAAAAAGGAACTACAATGGAGACTATAGGTAGAGATACATAACAGCAAACCACACATTCCGAGCCTTTATTCGCCGGCCCCCCCCTGTCCCTGCGGTTTAATGTTTTGGGGGGGAAGGGGTTACTATTCGACCAACCAACATTTTCATGTGATACTTGAAATGAGGAGGTTGCTCACTGTATCACCAGTAATCTCAATGAACACAGTAGCTGCGGAAATCATAGTCATAATAACATTAAGACAGTAACAAACACGTATCACCACATAGTAGTGAACGAGTTGCAGCATAATGACAGTGCAAGAACAATCATGATCGCCACAGTTCTTGCTAAGCCGTAAACCTTGTCCACATGACCCTACACAACGAAACGCTCCCTGAGGCAACCCAAACGCCAAAACCCCCAACAAACTCGCACACACACGCACACACACGCACGCACGCACACGCGCACACACACACACAACAAGAATCAACCAAAACCCTACACCCGAACCACTAAAGCCTTGAACCTTTAACAGAAATCAAACACCTCAAAACTGTTGCCGAGATAACTCGGTCAGGTTCGCGACCACGCCGTCCACGCACACCCATAGGTCGCCCTTTGAAAGGTTGTATAAGGCTTTCGAAGGTTTTAGGGGTTGGGGGACGGTTTAGGGTTTAGGGGTTGGGGGTCCGGACCCAGACAGCCTCAAGATTCAACTCCCACGTCCTACCTTTGTGGGGCGGCGCTGCAGTGCTCGTGCCCTTATGCCCAACCGGCTGCACTTTCCTACTTGAACTCGGCATGCCCTGTCCCAGACCCCAAACCCGCAGCCTGCCTTGCACCTCCCCAACTAGACTCTGTCTTGCAGGCCCTTAGATACCTCTGAGGAGTATGAGATCGTTTTTACAGAATCTCGTGAAGGTCGTGGTCCACCCCCAAAGCCTTCACCGTCGGGTTGGCTTAGGCTCGGAATCTCGCCCCCCAGGCCTGGTGAGAATGCTTTTTGAGCTCCTCCGGGGATATCGGAGGCAGATCCTGATGGCAACAGCTGGGCAGAGAAATTCTAACTGAAGAGGTGTTGAGTACTGGGCTTCATGGTGGAATACTGATAGGCAAAAGCTCTCCGGTTTGGAACTCCACGTGTTTATACATAACCCTAAAAAGGGTGCCCTTTTTGGTTTAAACGACTTTATAAGGGAACCTGAACCCTAAAAAAGGGAATAAGGGCCTACTCTGGGTCCTAGAAAACTTTCACAGCGACCTGAAACCATCTGTCCTTGACCTCCTCGTCGCCTTTCTCTCGGAGCATGGGCGGCACTTCCTCACAACTGCAGACATCCGAAACCGCCGGTTCAGGGTAAAGCGGGTTGAGGGATAATTTTTGTGGATTCCAGGGTTTGGAGTTTTGAAAGTAGGTTTTTATAGTCTTCATAGGGATTAGGATTGTCGTGTTTTGGATTTGGAGCTTAGGTTTTAGGGTGTAGGATATTTGGGGTTTACGCTCTCACAACTCGGACTAGCCAGGCGAGGTCCATGGTACGAGGTCGGCGTGAAACAAGATTCAAGAATCCCCCAGATCGAACGAACCCACTACAAAAGGGTTAAGGATTTTCGGGCTTGGCTTTCAGGTTTTCGGAATTTAAAAAAAACAGTTCAGGATTTGGCGGTTTAGGTTTTTTTTTGGGCGGGTTCGAGATTTAGGAAGTGTCTAGGGTGCTAGAATGCTTTGTTTTCAGGCATGTCTCGCACGCACACCCGTGCAAGCAGCTTGAGCCAGCTTGACACAGTGTGAATCACAGGATTCTCGATCCTGTTTTGACGGTTCAGGATACTGTGCTTTTAGTTGTTTAAGGTTTTTGTACTTACTGGTTTACGGTTTACATGATCCCCCACGCAAGTACCTTGCTAGGAAGACGCCCATTGAACATGGCCTACCCCTAAACCCTAAACCGTAAACCCTAAACCCTAAATGCTACACTAACCCTACACCTCACAAGCCCGACCTATACTTATATTAAAGGGCCCAAGAGAAGCTCACCCTGCTAGAAACCCTTCTAGAGACCCCCAAAGCTATGCCCTGTGAAAGAACCTTTAGAGGCCCCTACTACGGCAGACCGTAAACCCTAAACCTTAAACCCTATATTACCCCCCAAATTCCCTTTAAAGGACCCCTTTCAAAGATCCCTTAAACCCTAAACCTTAAACCCTAAACCCTATATTACCCCCAAATTCCCTTTAAAGGACCCCCTTTCAAAGATCCCTTAAAGGCCCTCGCGTTGCAGAAAGGCCCAGCCTTGAGGGTCGTGATCCAGTAGCAGAAGAGCCTTGGGAGGAGCCCCGAAGAAGCAGCGACTAAAGGGGTTTAGGGCTTAGGTCCTTAGGGTCTAGGTTTTAGGCCTTCAGGGTTTGGCGGTTTAGGCTTTTAGGATTTAGGTCTTTAGGGTTTAGGCTTAGGGTTTAGGTCTTTAGGATTTCCAAGATAGAACAGGGAACTCGAAACGACATGGGATCTCCGAAACAAACAAGATCAACAGGCTACTGCGTGCAGGTGGGGAACAGCCGAAAGACCCAAACGCCCTAAACCCTCAAAGCCTAATCCCTAAAACCTGATAGAACCCTCTCGAAACCCCAAAATGTTACGAAGTGACCCGCCTATGCCATCACATTGCGCTCCAACGGCACCCAAAATGCCATCCAAAAAATCAAAATGGCAGAGAGCGATCATGACTCAAAGCGTGAAACCATCTAGCATCCCGACAACCGAAACTCCGAAGTCCAAAACAAAGGGGTAGTTGTCTAATTTAGGGTCCCTTTTCGGATCCCCAATATAGTAGGGCACCCTTGTAAAAAAGGACCCTACAAAAAGGGCCCCTAACTTACAGAACTACCCAATAAGTCCCTAAACCCTAAACCCTAAAATTAGCCAGGTGGCAGAAGCAGGATCGAGGCCGAAATCCCGATGACGCGACCGACTTCCTTCGACGGCGGAGTCTCCTGAAGGAGCTTATGTCTAAGGTTGAAACCATGGGCCCCTAGTATGGGCCCTCAGCCCTGGGATCCTGATACACCTATATGTACCTTTGGGGGACCTCAGCAAGGCCTAAGGGTCCATATTAGAGGCCCATACTTCTAGTTACAGACGATTCTTAGAGCTTCAGAGTTTTATGGGTTATATCGAAACGGACGCAACAACTCAGCTATGATAAGGATCCGGAATCATTACAAAAAAATACGTGCTTGGGGCTAGCCGCTAGAGTACGTATGCTAGAGCCGGGTTTTGCCACCAAGCGTCTAGCCACTGGCGAATCTGGCGGATCCCTGCATCCTCCGATCTCTCCGACGACAAAAGGCTGCTTCCGACCGTCCAAGCCGTGGTGAACCTTGCTGTCAGTCGGCATCGAGACTTCGTCCACAAACGCTCGTGAAAGCTGATGCATCTAAGTCTTTCCCCGCGTGCACTAGCAGACTTCTGGCCTCAACAAAAGCTTGCAAACTCACGGCTTCGACACTCACACTCGCACAGGCAGTGAGTTTAGGGTGTAAGTATTTCCTTTTTATGGTTTATATTTAGAACCCTATAAGGTAATCCCAAAAAGGAACTACTTAGGGGCCTGTGGGTAACCCTCCATCCCCCCAGGCCCTCGTCCGTAACATCCTACAAAGGTGCCGTAGTGCCAAGCAAACCTCTACGTCGACGGAGCTCGCTTTTCGGACACCATGCCCCCACCCAGCGTGACTCACTGGTACTATGCAGGTGGCTCGGAGCTTACGGAAAGCTTTGCGGGCAACGTGATCCCTAAACCACTACGTCCCACGGATCCCTTGGCGAAACTGTGTGCAACCTCGGAATGAAAACATGGAGATATCAAAGTCAATGTCACTCGTAGCATTGCTCCATCATCCTATGCTTACTCACTGAAATGTAGCCTTGAGTCTACAAGTGCCCTGCGACTAGGGACATGTCTTGCAACATTAATTTTCGTCAATTAGCTTGCGAGGTGGCGTATGGCTAGCATATGGTGATGCAGTAATTTAGCACCAAGCCCCTCACACCAGGAATATTGCGAGCTATGGCCTCAGTCACAAGAAGCCTACATCCGAAAACACGTTCAGCAACCCAGGAACCTCTTAAATCCCTGAAACCTTACATAAGCCTTATACACATCCCCAAAAATCCGAACCCTAAGCCCTACGGCTCTACAACCCCCCCAACACCATGAAGACCCTACTACAGAATCTCGGTCACATCTCTGGCATGGGGCATTTGTTCAGAGAGAAGGACGGCGATGGAGGGACGCTGTAATGCATGCTGGGTGCCTGGGACTCGCTGTCCGCAGTTTCGGATTTCGAGCTAAGGCCTTGATGATTAGAGATTTTTTTTCCCTCTCGCACTGCTGAGAACTTTAGGGTTTAGGGTTTACGGTTTCGAACAGGTCGGGTCTGCACCCATACAGTAACAGTCTATAATATTAAGGGCTTTGTATCTCTGATTTTAAAATGATCACTGTTAGTGAGTGGGGGTAGTATCCAAAAACTACGTAGGATTTTGGGTATACGGTAGTTGATCAAAGGATCATGAGGGGAGACTCAGAAGCCTATGAGGGGTACTCAATGGCTTTTGTTGTGCTCCCTGGCTGAAGTTACGGGTTATGGGATGTAAGGCTTCAGGGTCAGGGATTTAGGGTTTAGGGTTTCGGGTCAGGGATGTGGTGTAGGATGTAACTTAGGGTTTGAGATTTAGCCTTAACACTTGTCTTTCTCCTGAGGGATACGAACACAGAACACAACACACCCTTGCAAACTCAAATTCCATGAAGCCCATGTAGGGTTTTATCTGGAACTGCTAGAGCCTAAACCCAAAACCCTAAAGCCATACACGGTGCCTGCTTAACTGTTTGTACGCCCTCACAGTTGCCGCAGCAACAACAACAAAACCACCACCACAACCCACCACCACCACCATCACGGCAACAACAACAACAACAGCAGCAGCAGCAGCAGCAGCATCAACATCAATAACAAGAATAACAATAAAAATGATACGAATGTCATAATCAGAATGATAACAACAAAGATGCCAAAAAATGAGGATAGCAACAGTAAGAATAAGTCGTCGTCATCATCAGCATCACCAGAAAAATGAATACGAACAATTTTCATAATCAGAACAATAAGCAGGGACCGCGACTGCGACTCCGACAAGTGCTGCTGCTGCTGCTGTTACTCCGAACGGGGCAGCTGCTTAACAATTAATACAACGCACGCTATGCAGCACTTGTCATTGGAATGGTCGTACTGCCACCTAGAAACAAAAATGACAAGCTACCCTCCCCCAAAATCTTTCAAAGACAAACCCCCCAAAACAAGATAAAAGTTCGTTTACTCACGTACCAAGCTGTATAGGTACCCTCGTTCAACTGGCACTCCTACATCCCTAAGTGTAAAAGCCGCAAACCTAAACCTAAACGTGGCGGTTCGAACAGGGAAAGTAGGCTTCCAGAAATCCCAAACTGGAATTACTACGATGGGGTTTGGGATTTAGTGTTCAGGGCCGAAAAAAGGAGCCAGCACACTGTTGGACTTGTTGTGTGGATGGAGGAGCTGAGAGATTTCCTCCTTCAGGCAGCGCAGTTAACAACACAGGTTTGGTCGGCAATTGCGGCTTGTCGGGGTTGAATTTCAGGCTCGGGGTTGAGGGTACTTGTCGGTTTCGGAATATACCTCAAACCCTAAACCCTAACCCTAAACCCCTAAACCCCTGAACCCTGAACCCTAAACCCTAGCAACATGCACCCCTTCAACCCTGCAGGCTCTCCCAAGAAAGCAGAATCTACCTACAACGGCCCTTTGCAGCACATGATTCTTGGATGGAGAGGGGTCTCAAGGAGAACAAGGCGTGACGTGAAAAAATTCGACAGTCATCATACTGGTGTGCTTGGGGTACAAAAATCGGCTGATCATGCAGTATCCATGTCCCAAGTTTCCATATTATCCAGTTCACTTTAAAGCCCAGGTCTAAACCCTGAAACCCTACACGTGTAGAGCACAATTAAACAACCTGAAGCTGAACAAATCTGAAGGCCCATCAACAACATAGCTGTTAGAAACACACCTTTCGGGACCGTAACACCCGGAACCCTGAAACTAAACTAGCCTTCTGGAGATCACTCGAAACCGGATGAACTGAGTCGAGTGCGATGGTAGGATTCAATTGTACAAGCCCCAAAACCCTAAAACTGCAACCCTAACCCTAAACTCCAGCCTGAACTTCTAAAGTCTAAACCTCAAGCCCTAAACCCTAAACTCTAAATCTGAAGCCCTAAACCCTCAACTCTAAATCTGAAGCTTTATAGACCCTAAAACTCTAAACCTGAAGCCCTGCAGCCCATAATCTCTCGATCTGAAGCCCTAGAACACCTCTCCTCGAGCGGCTTTGCCGAGGCCCCGGGGCTTCGATTTACCTTCTCCAACTGGAGACTCGTCTGCAAAAGTCTGACCTGACTTAGGGTTTAAGGTTTAGGGGTTTAGGGGTTTAGGGTTTAGGCTCTACTAGGGTTTAGGGCTTAACGGCGTTATGTGGGCTTAGGTCTCTTCTTATTCTGGCGTTTACGACAGGTGCGCAGTTAGATGAGACCTTGCCTATTTAGGTGTATGGCACCACCCAGCCCCCACCCTAGGATAAAAATCTATCTCAAGATCTCACCTCCCACCCTAGGATAACATCTATCTTAAGATCTCAGCCGCAGTAGGATGATCCCAACCCAAGTTACCATCCTAGGAATAATACTTATACATCTATCTAGGTGCCATACGCCTAACTAAGGGGGGTCTTACAGAATCTGGGTTAAGGTTTGGGATTAAGGGTTGTAGACAAACCATGACCAGAACCTGCAAAAGGGCGCACCATCATCACAATGAGCATTTGACATGCACGGGCAAGGTACCCATTGCCTCCCGAGAATTCTCGTGAGACGTGAGACTTAATGACACAAAGCTAGCTAGGTTGCTTGCACCTGTACACCCAAGGTCTCCGCGAAGGAAGCTATGACGCACTTGCCAGTCTCGCTGAGCGCTGGCACTAAGTTCAAGTTAAGATTATACCAGGGATAAGCATGGACTGCATATGACAACTCCTCCCAGATTCGCACGAGCTCATCCTTCTGCTGGCTCTTGGATTTTCCCACTGCCGGAGCACACTTCTTGATTGTCGTTTTCAGAAGCATCGACCAAGGCCCTGCTTCGGGAGTGATGACGGCTTGCTCCAGCGCACTCGTACAGTCAAAGGCTCCTTCGGCGTGACCTGCAACTTTCTGCTCACCGAAAGCGAGTTGAGCAACCCGCTCGAAGAGCCCCATGCTTGTCAGCAGCCCTTGTACTTGAAGAAGTCCCTGATGAAGCATCCTGTTTTCAACTTTCAACTCCACCATCTCTGCTCCCTTCGCTGCCGTTGCGGCTGCCAACTTTGCGTCCTTCGCTGCCGTTGCGGCTGCCAACTTTGCGTCCTTCTCTGCCAACTCTGCATCCTTCAGTGCCAACTCTGCGTCCTTCGCTGCCGTTGCGGCTGCCACCTTCACCTTCAGGTACTCACAGAGTGCGTCTTTGCGAACTTTACTGTCGGTGCATGAGTTTATGAGATCCAGAAGAACTTTCTCGTCTGGACCCTTTTTGTTCTTCTTCCTCCTTGCAGGGCGGGTGCCCTGCTGCCGCTCGCGCTTGCGATGTACCGCCATCGAAGGAGACAACTACTGCAGCATGAACCTACAGCATCCTCACATGTCACGTGCATTGTTCCAAAGAATCATGGTTGTGATCCGCTGTCAACCTTTGTGCTAGTGAAGCCTACAACTGGGATGAGGACAATGGAACTAAAGCGAAAGACTGAAATAAAGTATACAAGAAGTGAATAGTAAAATTTGTTATGACGTTGTTAGATATATTAAAACTAAAGAATTTAGGTTTATTGGTAAAAATGAAAGAGAGATGGGATTTATAGCCCGAGATATACCCAATTCAAAAATGCCAAAACAATGGTCCAAAGTTCTAATGAAAGACGATAATGATTATTTACGACTTAACTATATTAAAATGAATGTTGTTTTTGGTCAGCAGTTCCAGAAATGCAGAAAAATAAGCACTCTAAAAAAGGAAAATACGAAATTGAAGAATAACACTAGAGGGAAAGGCGAAGGAACATAAAGTAATCCAAATACATAATACAATGCCTAATATTGACGAAACAATAGAAAAAGAAAATGGATGAGCAACTACATAAGATTAAAGGAGAATAAATATTTGTTAATACAATACAAGAATTAACTGAACAAAAAAACAAAAAATATGAATTGAATATAATACAAAAACAAAAACAAAAATGAATGTAGCAACAGCGGGAAATGTATGCCTCGCAATTTATTTTCCTTTATTTTGTTTTGACAAGATTGTGAGTAACATTGTTAATCATCTCCTACTTCCTATTTTCTTTTCAATACTGATATAAAACATCCTATTAATATCTCTGGCGTTGTTGTTGATGCAAAAGAAGGAATAGGGAGCATAATTCACTGCTTGTTGATACATACTATACAAAGTGTTTTTATCTACCGGCGCTGATATTACTTCGAAAAAGCTATTGACTTGAATCATATTCTTCAACCTAAATATAAATAATGCACTTGCGTTGAGTCTAACAATAGGAGCTAAAGCATTGTATTTTTGAGTTGATAAAACGCAAGAGACTGCATTGCGTCTACCCCTAGTGAGCAAACCGTGCAGTATATGAGAAAATCTAACGAACTTGGGGTCGTCGGCGAAATCATCAACAATAATCAAAATACTAAATAAGTCTTGTTGTTTGTTCTTCTTCTGGAAGTCTATGACCTTATGCTGGGTGTCACTTATCTTGCTTAATGATACTGGGTCGTATTCTTCATACTATACTTCTTCCCTTTCTGTATCTACCTTCATCACGTCCGTTATGTTTTGTTAACTGTCCTCCAAGTATCATAAACGTGAAGGGCTAAATCTATAAATATATATTTTTTCTTTTGAATGAACCACGACATATTTCTAATATTAGGTTCGCGATTAATACGGATTTGCCACCTGTTGATGATGCCAGTGCCAACATTCTGGCTGGTAGGTCAGGCATCATATCATATTTACTGTTTTTGTATTTGTATTCGGGTATACCTAAAGGTTCAACAATAGGAATATCATCAGTCATTATTAAGTTTATAGAAAATTTTGTCCTTATTAATATATGGATAAGTATATTGAAGTTGTTAATGAAATGGAAAAATAGAAGAAGTCATAGCACCGCCTAAATACAAACGATGTTGCTACAGTCTTTTAGAGTTATGCAAAGCTTTACTAAATTATGTTGAAAAAACTAAACATGTCAGTGCAATGAATGAAAGATGATAAAGAAGAAGACAATAAAAATGGGGTTTCAATTTAAGTAAAGACGGCATCAACTGCTTATGTTGTAAATTTAGGAAGAATACATACCATAAGGAAACGAAAACAACAACCGAAAACAATAAAGTCATTGTTAATGTTGTTGAAGATAGAAGCAGTTTTAACATCGGAAAAGGTAGAATGGAAACCCCTGACGATGGTATTTTCAAACTCAACACCACACATCATCAAATAGGCAGTATTGAATTATGTGATGCTGGATGGGGAAGCAAAATGGTTACACCAGAAGACAACCAAGAAAGGGTATTTAAATTAGAGACAGATGTAGAAGAAACGAAGAAAGATATAACTGACTTGAAAACAAATAGTTTAAGTTTGATGGATTAATATTTAGAAATTAAATAAAATGTATGTTAATTTGACAGTGTATAGCCCTTTGGGCTTTAGACTCTTGGGTTTCTATGAAACCCAACAGTGTATAGCCTGTCGCAACGCAGGCAAGTGCAATAGGACAAAAGCCGAGAACTGAAGATGTACAACAAGGAAATCCCCGATTTCGATCCAAACGCCCCATTTGATAATGCACCAGATGGAACGTATGAAAGGGGAGTAATATGACACCTTCAATACCCTATCATAAGCATAGGGCTTTAATTAGTATGTTGAATTTACAAATTGTTCACAAGTCTTACTGTGAAAACTTTATAATTAAACAGTGTATGCCTAAAGTTATAGAAAACATTACCTTAGACTTTCGCTCATATAGCAAAGAAGACGACGCATACAAGGTCATGAAGAAGTGTTACCGTTGCAAAGAGGATAAGGATCTTAATTGCTTTACGTGCTTTTATATGGCCAACAAAAATACCGTTTTTCAAACACATATATGAAGTGTAGACAAACTTGTATGGAGTGCTTGAGAAAACAATGAAGCCATTTGAAGGGATAGCGACTCTTGATAGCAAGATGGAAACGCTTAAACTGCACTAGGTGGCATAGTAAAAAGCAGATCGAAGAATTCGGGTATAATAAATGGGGGCAACCTTGGTGAAATTGCATCAAGTGCAGAGAGAAGAGAAAGGAGTACAAGAAAACCGAATCTACAGTCCAGCAACCCAAGCAAGAAATTCACGAAGTACTTGAACGCATTAAGCAGTTGCTAATGAATGATCAGGCTTTGGAAAACTGTTTTACTTTATTTGTAAAGAGCAAAGACAGAGTATTCATAGACTTTCCAGTAGAAGATAACAGACGAGAGACGAACAAACTGAATTAAATTTGATTAATTCCCTTGTTATGGTGTAAAAATAAATGCATAACTGCTTACAGATTATATTCGCATGGTTGTTACAACATTCTTGGAGAAACCGGGAAGATAAAGCACGTTACACCCTCAACCCTAGACCCTGAACCAAAATTCTACGAGGACCACCTTGCCTATTTTGGGCTATGGCACCTGAAGCCGAAAATAGGCGAGGGGGCCTAACTGGCGCAGGGCGATAAGGTTTTGAAAGTTCTGTTTGCCCTGATTTCACGAGGGCTCTACAGGTGTTGAAAAGGCTTTGACAAGCACAAGGTAGCAACATCATCACATGAACGTGCGAACGGTCTATGTGCTGCCATTGGCGTTGGCTACCGCATGACTTGCCCAGATGGTTTAGGGTTTAGGGTTATTATAAAGCCTCATATGTTCTTTTATAGGGACCCTGCCAAAAAGAGTAGAGTTTGGGTGTTGGATACCATAACAAACGCCTGATCTTTGGCCGTGTACTAGTAGATATAGCTGTTATGGGCTACCATTTGTTGGATCCTTTCAATCAGTCTGCGTGCGAAGTAGAGCGAATGAGGAGGTGTGTTGGGGTTTCGGGCGACAGGGTCGCAGCAGCTCAATTTAAGTGCTTCAAACCGCAAAAGAAGATTTGATGTTTGGCTTTAGAACTTGTACTGTGCATCTCGCCATGTCTCGTCTACCAACTCGACCTTCTAACTTAATCTTGGAAGTCAGCCCGGTGAAGCCTCCGCAAGCTGCGCTTCACTGCCGGCGTCCGAGCATTCCCAGTTGTCGGCCCTGAGCATTGGGTGGTTCTTGGGGTTTTGGACTTGGGCCGAGGGATACTAGCCTCTTGGAATACTATATATAGGGGCCACAGGGGCCTTAATAATTAGAATAAGGATTGGCAGTGACTGTGGGCCTTGATCTTGAACCGTACTCTGGGTGTGGCGAGTCATTAACTGTTGCTTTGTTATGAGACTGCCTACCGAGGCCAATACAGCAAATGTCTCTTTGGAGCATAGCTGCTGTTGCCCTTGCGATTGCATGCCGCCTGTGGAACTATCACAGGCTTACTCTTAACGAATGATGGCTAATAAACCCTAAACTTGGCTAGACCCTCACGTCACGAACATTTGGAATTTTGCGCGCACACACACATTCCAATTGCTCTTGGTGAGTCCTTGGAAAAGCTAGCATCGATTGAAAAACTGCACTCAGCAGTATCAGGGCCAGGTGTGGGAGTCTGAAGCAAGGTACAGAGACTGTGACTTTGCAGCTTTTGGTATACGGTATATCGTAAGAGCACCAAAAAAACCCTCTCCCCCAACACCCCCATCGCAGTAGAATCCCGAAGCCAAGACAGGACTCCCCCCTCCTCCTCTCCGCCAAGAAAACCTGAACCCTCGTCCGCCCAAACACACAGCCTAAACCCCATCCCAGCATCCCTTACCCAGAGAACCCAATGCACCTTAATTAAGGAATATACCTGAAATGATAGGGGCCTTAATGTTATGCGTTAAAGTATATTCTCTACTTAAGGGGTATTGGGTTCTCTGGGTAACCCTCATAGAGGTGCCCCAATGATTCGGGACAGGCCTCGGGGTGTGGTAGACCATAGATAAACGAGGAGCCCTTCAGGAGCAGTACTACGGTAGGCCTTCAACCCTATATGCCTCAAACACTCAAACCCTAAAATCAGCCCTAAAGCCTAAACCGCAAAGCCTGAAATAAGCCCTATAGTTTAGCCCTAAACCTGAAAGCCTTAACCCCAAAAGCTTGAACCAGGTTGCAACATCTCGCAGGAGCCCAGTGGGTCTTGCTCCCCAGTGGCAGTGCCCAGCCATGCGAGCAACAGTGCTCCTGGGGTCTCTTGGGGTTCAGATTTTCGGGTTTTGGGGTTTTAGGGCTTGGGGGTCTTGGGGTTTAGGGTTGGGGGGTTTTGGGGTTTAGGGTTCCGGTTTCAGGGGCTTAATTATGGGTTTGGGGTTAAGGGGGTTTAGGATTTTAGGTGTCCACTTCCGCTTCTGACTTCTGGGCTCTGTGTGGTACCTCGGATGTGGTGTGGTGTTTGTCACCGGAGTGACAAGATTTCAAGCGAAACTGGATGACGAGACGAGGTATCGCAAGAAGTAACGTGTTGGATGTGGTCCAGCATCGCAGCAGCGGGTGGTGAGTGATGGGTTGGAGATGCTTGCCATTAAGTTCGATGTTGTCGGAGAAAACGTGCAGGTGGAGGATACGAGGTTGGTATGGACCTCTGCATGCCAACCGAGAGTCATGCGTTTGGTGCCTTGCTGGCACTCCCAAAAAGGGTATGTCGACAACAGCTAGACTCTGGTGCCAGCAAGGCCTAGAGAGCATAAAGAGCACAGAAGGCAACGTTCGAGGCCTAAGCATGCGTTTCAATCCGTAGCGTTTTTGAGAGGGGGAAGGGCATGACTTGCTGTAGCACATTACCAACAACATACCAGTTTCAGAGCTCTTGATTCCATGCGGTAGAAAATTGTCACGAATGTCAAAGTGCGGGATACTGACGCGGCCTGAGTGCTCTCCAAACAAACTATGTCTAAGCAAAACAACCGAACAAATTATTATATATTTCATTCAAACGCAAATAGAAACGCAACCTCTACATTGTACGTATACAGGTACGCGTACGTGTATAAGTATGCAAAAAATAGATACAAATATACAGATATGGTTGTGTACATGTGTGTGCGTGTGCCTCTGCCTGTGCCTGTGCATGTGCCTCTCTCGCTCTCTGTGTGTGTGTGTGTTTGTGTTTGTGCGCGTTTGCTTCCAAGCAGCCGCAAACGAAAGGCCCTCGCGACATTGCACGGGCCGGCCCCCAAAAAAATCCACGCAGGTACCAAGATGTATGGAAGTTCAGGAACCGAAGGATGCCAGTCCCCTTGAGCCAGAAGGTCAACAAAAGTCGATGTGTAAAAGCATGATGGGCCTTACTTTCGGGGGCCATAAAACGAACTTCGCTGCTATACGATTCTAGTGGATTGCGTATAAGGGTTTGGGATTGATATAACGTGTTGGAGATGTTTCAGACAAGAAGGGGTACCGTGCTTGGGGTCCTGATTAATGAGGATACAGACCCGACTATTCATTCAGGGTGTGTGTGTGTGTGCCAGTGCTAGTGTCCCCCGATGATTAGCAACTCCCATCTTGGGTCTCACCAAGCTTTTCCAGCAAGACGTAACCCTAAACCCTAAGCCCTAAACTTGTTTGGTTTTGGTTGTCTTGAGGACACCGCTTAAGGGTTTTTGAGGGATCCTTTTGGGTCCTTTTGGGGATCCTTTTAGGGTTGGGTTCTAGTGTGTATGTATATATATATATATATAAAATCCAGGAGCATAGAGCACCTACACTTTAGGAAGATTCCGGCGTTTTAGCACCATGGTATTAATAGTAAGGCTTCTGAGAGTCTGGGGTTTGGGTTCTCGAGGCTCGTTACATGAAGGTGCGTTGTAGAAAGTTGCAAGGTTTAGGGTTTAGGGTTTGGGGTTTAGGGTTTTGGTTATAACCTTACTTCCCCAGTACCCCTCGAAGTACAGTTCACTGTGAAACCGACAGACGCAAGATGGACCGATTGAAGTTGCAGGATAAGTTTAACGGAAGCTTCAGGATAAAAGGGGTCCTGCCCATAGGCCCCTAAGTAGTTCGTTTTTGTGGTCTATATTCAGAACCCTATAAGGCAATCCCAAAAAGGAACTACCAAGGAGCCTATGGGTAATGCAGACCCAGAATGAAGGGGGTTCCCGGAAGGCGCGATCGGCCCTGCTCGACATGTTCCCTGACACCCTGTCGGAAGGTCCCAATCGAGAATGAACCTCCGTAGGCCACCCTAAACCCCTAAACCCTTAAACCCTAACCCCTAAACCCTAAAACCCTAAACTCTACACCCCTAAACCCCTAAACCCAAACCCAGTCGGGGTATCAACAACCAACGGCTATGTGCCGGACACCCTGCACGAGAATTGTCGGCGTTTGGGGGCTCCTAAACCCAACACCCGAACCCTAAAACCCCAAACCCCAAACCCTAAACCGCCCCTAAACCCGAAACCCCAACCCTTAAACCCTAAACCCCAAACCCTAAACCGCCCCTAAACCCGAAACCCCAACCCCCTAAACCCTAAACCCCAAGAACATGAAGCTCGCGCTGCAACTCCCCAAGGCTAAGACCGAATTTCTTAGAGCCTCCCGGCTCTCCATAAAACCAAGACCCCAAGACTCCTCCTAACTATTCAGGGTTTTCGGGTTTAGGGTTTACGCTCTCACAACTCGGACATGCCAGGCGAGGTTCTTGGTGCGAAGGGTTTAGGGTTTAGGGGTTTGGGGTTAGGGCTTAGGGTTTAGGGTTATAGATCTTACAAGGCCCCTCTAGGACATTTTCAGGTGGGTAGTTACTGTTATAGGAGCCTTATAGAAAGTCTATATACCTTGCCTTATAGAAGCCTTATGGAAGCCCTTTTTCCCCTAAACTCCTTACCTGTAGTTTCCTTTAAACTATACCTGTCCCTAAACCCTAAGCCCTAAAGGGCCCTAAGCTTTAAGTAGGGGCCCTGACTCAGTTGAAAACTGCCTTTGGGGTATGTGCTAGGCTCTAGTGAACTTATCTATGGGTACTATAAGGGCCAGCTTAATATTGAGACCTCAAAAGAAGCCCCACGAAGCCGACCTAAACCCTAAACCCTAAACCCCCAAGGATGAGTTCCTTACACCGGCCAGATGACCCCTTGATGCGATCATGCCATGTAGTCTACTGTAGGGTTTAGGGTTTAGGGCTAAACCCTAAACCCTAAACACTACTATAGGGAGATCTGGTGCCCGGACCTCGTTTAGCATCATCTGGCTTGTGAGGCTTACCCCTAAAACCAAGCTATCGGGTTTAGGAGTTGGAGCTGAGGTGTAGTTCTGTTCCTTGGGTGTCGACTTCAGGGGGGTTCGAATCCTCTGAATTCCGGGGTTGCAATAATCTCTTGACCCTAAGCCCCAAACCCTAATCCCTTCACCCTAAACCCTAATCCCTTAACCCTAAACCCTACAGTCATAATTAACCCTAAACCCTAAAGCCATAATTAACCCTAAACCCTGAAGCCATAATTAACCCTAAACCCTAAAGCCATTATTAACCCCACACCCTAGAGCCATAAGCCCTAGGCCTACTCCCTACGTTCCACATTTCGCAATCCCCATCTTCAGCTTGCAAACCGGAGGATCACGTCCTAACCCTTTCTTGGGTGGTACCTACCCATAAGCCCCTAAGTAGTTCCCTTTTTATGGTTTATATTTAGAACCCTACAAGGTAATCCCAAAAAGGAACTACTTAGGGGCCTATGGGTAGTTTTGTGGCTAGGATTTATGTAGATAGGTGGGTGCCCTAGAAAAGGGGTAGGGTATGTCTCTTGTAGGAACTTTGCTACACCTCTGCCCCAAGAACCCCAGGGCACCCCGTGCAAAAGGCCCTTTTACCCTAATCTATTGTAGGGCTTGGGTACTGCCCCCATACAGTAACGTCTACAATAGGGCTACTATTTAGGGTTACTAAACTGTTTCTGCGTGGGGGCAGAATCTATTGTAGGGCACAGGTAATCGGAACAGAGCTTGGGTGTATAGCATAATCATACAATCATACAGGACTACCAGAAAGGTTATTACTGGTTTCTTGCAGACCGTGGTGCTACCTTCAAGGCTGAGGATCGGGTGCACTCCTTTGTCGCCCCATGCAGCCTGCAATCCTACACTCCATATACTTTTTCCCCCTGTACCCATATCCGAACACGCTGCGATGCCAATCCGAATCTTCTCCCCTAAGTAAACCCTGAACCCTAAAGCCCCCATATAAACGCAGCCCTCAAGAACAAGTTTGGGGCCCCAGCAATGTCCTTAAAGCTCACTTTGGCAGTGCCTCGCGCCCTTGCTGACACTGGCTTACTGTCAAGTGCTACTTCATGACACTCTTAGGACGTTTAATGTTTCGGGTGTGTTGTGACTTCCTTTTTCTGTACGGTGTGGCATTGCAGGTCACCTCCGGTATCGTTTTTAGGGTTGAGGGATTGGGGCGTTTGCTGTTTATGTGGAAAGCTGTAGGATTTGGGTTATCCTTTAGTAGAGTTGGGATCGGGGCTAAGCCTTTCGGATTCGAGGCTAAGCAGTCAAGGTTTCGATTTAAGATTTAAGTTCACGGTGTGCGTGGGTGCCCAGCCTTTGGCTGTGCATGCAGGAAGGCCGAGAGTGTGGGCTTACACACCTAAGAATACAGGCCATCCCGACTAGCACAGTCGGTGTCGGTAGATGCTCTAGAGTTTTGGGCGCAAACTAAGCCGTGTTTCTCTTCTACGGGTGTTTAGATCCGAAATAGCAGGCCTCCTCTAACAGAGGGGCCTTATAGCAGTTTGGTCAGGGCTTTTGGGGTGTAGCATACTATGTTTATAATCAGGAACCCAAAGGAATAGTATTGAAGTATTGGTACTTGACTTGAGGTTCAGGTTTGGGCCACGGTTTAGGGCTTGGGGTTTATATGGGGGCCTATGAATTGAGGAAGTATGGTCTCTTGAGGAGGGGCGGACTAGAAGGAGCTTCTCTGTACTGGTGATGTTATGGCCCCTTCTGGGGTCAGTTACATAGGGTCCTGCTGAAGGGACCATGTCACTTTGGTGCTTCTGTTTTAAGCATTGGCGTGCCTCAGCTATGTAGACGTATAGGTTTAGACAACAAGGCGAAATCATGCAAACCTGCAAGACTAGGTGAATGTCGGGAGGCATGCTGGGCTGCCGGATGCATGAATATGGTGGCACAAGCGAGAAATAAGCTGGAAAGCACTACAGAAACAACAGTTCCTCGCAAGTGTAGCGATGTACGATGAGAACATATCTCACAATACTCTCGTGGCATGAGAAACGGCCCGGTTTTCTTTCCCGAGCACGCGCTTACGAAGTGCGCTTGCAGCCACGGACGCCAAGAGCTTAGGCCGAGTCTTCCCAAAGGAGGAAGGAGTGATTCTTATAATATCCAATGGCAAACCCAAGGGCAAAGCCTTTCGAGTGGCCAACGACCCGACCGACATCACCTTCAGAGATGATCATGTGGAACTCAGCGCCGAGTTTCTCCTGATACTTCTTCCGGATGCACTCGACGAGCTTGGGGCCATTTCCGGAGATTGCTTCATCTGTCATGACACCCGCCCAACAGGCGTAGATGACTGTCGACACGAGTCTGATGTTGTCTTGGTGGCGGAAGGTGTTGGAGTACTGCAGAGTCACGTTCCCCGCGGGGTAGTGCTCCTCCTTAGTCAGCATCCCGGTGGAGTCGGGCTCGCTAATAGCGGCACTTCCTGACTCATCCTGCTCGTTGCGCATGGCACAGCATGACGCAAGCAGAGTTGCGAATGCAAGTCGGGCCACGGCGGAGAGGGACATGAATCGTCAAGGCAAGGATTTGGACAGCAAACTAGAGGCTACTGGCTCGAGCCAACAAGATGCTAAAGGTGGCAAAAAATATATACATATATATATATCGGAAGCTCAGAAGACGCTGAAGCTTCTGCAATCTAGAACCCTGATGGCTAGGAGCCGGCATTCTAAGGAACTCACAACAAAGGGCCCAGACTTTTTAAGAAACCTAAACCCTGAACCCCGCTCAAATGCTATCTGGTAGGTTCCTCGGTCGACTCCAGCGGCGCAGGGCTAGGGTTTAGGGGTTAGGGCCGTTAGAGGATGGGGTTTATGGTTTCGGGTTGAGGGCTTTAGGGTTTGGGGGCTTGGGGTTTGGCGTTTGGGGGTTTATGGTCTAAATTTTCCTCCCGGATTGTCAAGAAGTCGAACGCGGGAGCTTAGGGCAAGCCCTGAAGGCGCGAAGCCTTGCTTGAGCCCTTCTTAGAATGTCTTGTCAGCAGCGCTCCTTCGGAAAGTCGGCTTCACGGTTGAAAGGAAGCTTAAGGCCTAACGAAGGAGAGATACAAGGTTCTATGGCTGGTGGCGGTGCTGCCATTGGGCTAGAGTTTCTGAGTTCAAGCTCCCACAGAGGCCTTACTAATGAGCAGAGCCCTCCCCCTGTCCAACACACAGGTGACGCAAGATTACCAGTGGCCGGCAAGGACCTTATAAGCTTAAACCCCAAAACCCTAAACCCTAAACCCCAAACACGTCACTAAACCCTAAACCCCAAGAGCCCTCAAGTCAACACTCAGCAATAGCTGATTCCAACCAATCCCGATCTCGAAGCCAAGCCCGGCTCCGAAGTTAACATAGGCGCCTCAAGAACTAGAACAGGGTTCCTGCAAGGGTTCTTTTGAAGTGTTCTATAAGGGTTTCTACACAGGTTTTATGATCTAGGGGCCTGATAGTCGGACTAGGGCTTTGGGGTATATGTCGCGGTACACTTAGAATAGGGTATGGGTACTTATTCGAGCTTCTATGTTAGCTGTTCACTTGGGGTTCAATCTACTGGGTGTAGACGCGTTTAGGTTTATTGGCTTTCACTTCTCAGGGGTACACAAAAGACTGAAGAAGAACTTCTTACAGATACTTGGCTGACTTCTGAACCCCTCCTAAAAGTTATTGTTAGCCTACCGGTTATAAATCATACAAAAACCAAACAAATGTTAACGTCCTAAGAGTCAACCAGAAGAATGCCAAGTGGAGGCAGGTAAGGCATATGGATCTGAACTAGGAGCCGGAATGAATTACTACAGAATGCCTCTTCCGAAACTATGTATTAATCATGAAGGCCCCTATGATAGCATGGGTGCTTCTAGGCTTTGGGGTCTCAGGGTCATCGCTGCAAGCCTGCACTTTTTCAGTCGGTGTCGGTGTGTCAACAAGGCCGACAAAATCCGAGCACTAGCAGCCCACGGTGCTCCTAAGCCTGCAGCCAGCCAGTACCCCGCCAAACACTGCGATTGAGGATGAAGTGCCGTCGCAAAGGACACCAGTGAACCAGAGTTGTGATCGATGAGGGTTAAGAACGCTTGGAGCACCGTCTTGATGCCCCTTCAGCCTAGATTACTATTTTTCTGGCGCGTCTTTGCGACGTTGCAGCTTGGCAGGCTCATGGACGAAGGCAAGCAGGAAGTAGGCGGCCAAGAGCAACACACTAACCCTACTGACTACTGACCATTGGCAACTGAGGTGGCGCCTCAAAAGGAGCCAGGGCTTGTGTTGATCAAGTATTTAGTGTCTTCAAGTGGGAACATGTCCATAACGACACAAACATGCTAGCCAACAGTTGGCGAAAGACTGCCGGTAATAACAAGGGACTGCCAGGCAGGGTGGTTGTGCTTTCAATGCTGGCCTATAATTTCATCTGGACGAAAGATGTGGTTCAACATGTGCGCAGGTGTTTATCTGCAGTGGTAACACTAGTAGCAGGTGGTAGTGGTGGCAGCAGTGGTGATGGCAGCCATTTAACAAAGTAAGAGAACAAGGCTTGTTTGCAGCGACAGACGGGTAGTAGCAGGGGCGGTTATGGCGGCTGTAGCGGCAATCCATGGCGGCAGCAGCAGCAGCAGCAGCACAAAGGGTGAGTAGTAGTAGTAGTAGTAGTAGTAGTAGTAGTAGTAGTAGTAGTGGTAGTAGTGGTAGTAGTGGCAGTAGTGGCAGTAGTGGTAGTAGTAGTAGCAGCAGCAGTAGTAGTAGCAGCAGCAGCAGTACTGGTAGTAGCAGTAGTAGTAGTAGTAGCAGCAGCAGCAGTAGCAGTAGCAGTAGCAGGAGTATTGCAGTAGCGTCGTGTAGTCTA